AGGAATAATCAAGCGTAGTCTCCCCTTATTTTGTTACTCTCTTCTTTGAGAGAGCTATTATATATAATTTTTTTTTCAATTCGAAAAATGTGAATACGCCACAATTCACAAGGAAATAATTCTGGCGGCTCTTTTGCCGCTAATTCTAAAAATATACATTTTCACATAATTGTAACAATTTTTTTTACAAACCATCTGATTTTTCTTTAAAATACACTTTTCTCAAAAGAACATTTAAAAAAACAACGTAGATGATTATAATATTCATTTATTTAGACTTTAACTAATAACTAAATTTATTTTAGAGTGTCTGAAATATAAATTTTTTATAAGATTAATTTACTAAAATAGGTTGAGAGCATCTCTTCCTCTGAAACAAATTTTATTTTAATTTTAGATGAGACAGTAAACGTTCAATATTTTGAGTGTATATCTCTATTAAACCTGGAGAGGGATAGGATATGCCATGTTAAAACACCCAAAAGACACATCCCATGATGAGCACACCAAAAAAAAATTACCATTCTCGGAAACCCAGGCTCCGACACACAACTGCGACAGATGGAGGAGAATGAGTGGACATTGGCACCCCAACGACTCCTTCCGAAGTTAAGGGCGGAATAGTAAGAAAATCGCCATATTTATCGGGGAGATTTCCTTGTGTATAATTACATAATGTCTGTAGTTGATATTCATATTTTTGATAATTTTTTTAAAGTTTTTATAAATTTTTGAACGAAAAAATTTCTTTTCAAATTTATTTCATTATAAAATGAAGAAATGATAAATCCTTATAAAAATTAAATGATAAATATCTCATTGTACATATTTCTATAATCTTGTAAATATACATTACCGTCGGAGTCAAATGTGTATAGAGTAATAGCGGTGTCAAGGGAATAACCATCCTTTTGACACTGTTATAAAATAAAATAAGACATATCTCGGTTGATTTGCAGGCAAATAAACTAACATACTCAAGAGCGAGAGCCGGATGTGAACGGGACAAGGCCCCGTCACAAAAAGTGTTTCTATTTTTCGACCAATAAAAATGCTTCCCTCCTAATTATACTCGCGTCGTTTTTCGAGCCTGTTAAGCCATAAAAAACGCCATAAAGCAGTCAATAGGAGGCCAGGGAAGAGACCTGTCACGGTCAGTCAGCAGCAGCGCCACGCCAACCAGCGAGAATTACTATGAGAGATCAACCTAGGTCGGCAGCCGGCTTATGAACTATACCACAAGGTAGCTGTCCCAAAACCACACGTTCCTATTGGAATAAATCACGAGAATCTATTTCTGCTGTTGTCGTATTTCTTTCTTGCAACCATACGCTTGTCTATAACAACACCGTTTTTTTTTGTGAGTACAAAGGTTAAATATTGCCAAACAATCTTTAACCATTATCACTCTGTATACGACTTCATTTACTGTACAAAAAGTATATCCTGACACTGAAGGTGACTGATCCTTGAATAATAGTATGTTTGAATTTCATAGTTGTGTTATTATATCCTGCTATGGAAACAGAAAACACCTTTGAGTGAAATTAACATTACGGACATTGCAATTGAGAAATCTTGAATAAGAATGCAGTGGAAAAGGAAGTAATATTTATAATGCACAGTGCTAAAGTTTAATTTTAAAAACTTAATTCTGGAACACATTCAGTCACATGAGATATTGATTATAAAAAATGTAAGAAAAACTCAAATATATTTTCTATTTTTTTTATTTTTTGTCTCAAGTAATAAAATATTTTTTGCTGAAAATGATTATAATAATATCTATAAGTTTACCATCAGAACAGAAGTATTCGAATCCTAGAGGAATGGCAACGTGTTGATAGGGATTGGGTGTAGCGTAGAGATCATAAGACCATTGATCCCAGTTGTTAAAACAATCAATTTGTAGCATAGCAGTGGTTCACAAAAAAGCTTGAGGTGTGTTTACATGGCATGGGTTCGGCCGGTTTGTACACATCATCGACCGGCGACCTCTATATATCACTGCTTTGTGACCCATTCATAGACTTCATCGACGCTAACAACGGTTATTCCAGGAGGAGGATGCACCGTGTCATCTGACCATGTTGTCCAGAATTGCCTTCTGGAGACTTCTGGAAAATTGTACGACCTCTGTATTCGGCCGACATGAACCCACTCGAATATTTACGGAATGTGGTTCAGAAGTCTTGTATGTAAAATCTTACGCTTACAAATAAAAAGGGAGTTCACAAACTCAAATGCTTTGGTGTCTCTGGGCAAATATACCTAAGACAATTGTTATTAACAACTCGTATAATAAAAGTCATATTGTAGAGCCACGCTTATAGATCATTTCATATTATTGCGGGAGGGGGGTGCGCAATAATATGAAATCATCTTTGGACCTACGTTGTTTCTTTCAACGACCTTCCCGATGTCATCAGTTCCCAACTAGGTATCTATGCTGATGGCACATCTATTTACTCCTGTCTTAATAGTAAGTTCAATACGTCTTCAATCAGTTGTTAACTGGGGCAAGAAATAGCTTGTAAACGAATTTGCTATCTTTTAATCATCATAAAGAGCAACTTCTTTTTCCTTCCATCAGCATGGCTGATGCTATCCCTACCCTAAGGAAAGCAACTCATTACGCCTTCTTGGTTTCACGTTTTCCACTGACATGAAAAGGGATGATTATATTGAATCAGTTGCTAGGTGTCTACTGTTAGAAAAGTTAGCTCACTGTGCCGTACCAGAAAATTTTACTAACTTTTCACACGTCAATGTATAGTAAACATGCAACTTCCGATTTTTCCAGAATAGCACCCCAATGTAGAATCTGGAAAGAACGGTTAGAATCGAGACTCTATCAAACTCGATTATATACAGATTTTACTGTTCCTGTTTAGACAAAATAGTTTTATAGGTGTTTACGCAAGTATACTCCGTCGATCATCGTGACATACCAGTAACGAGACAAATTACTAGAAGCAGTGAATTCATGCGAAGTGAACAGAAACGAATTAATCAAAATTCGAACACGTTTCGCCGATTTCGCTTTTCACCAACAACTTTCTTATGTCGATACATCAGTAAGTTCACAGACTAAAGATGAAAAAAAATCTTATATTTTACACAATATATATTTATTTTTTAACAACTTTTAATAACTGTGTCAGGCTACATACTTACTGATCCACTATATATATATATAATAATAATAATAATAATAATAATAATAATAATAATAATAATGGACTCTCCCGTCGGTTTCGACATATGAGGATCTGACAGCTTATTGATTCAGTTATGACATTTTGTGCGATAATCTTAAGTTGCATTTAAGACCCGCTAGTGATTTACAAAGGAGGCCACATATGGAGCAAGTGTGAGCAAGGAAAGGACAGAATTTACAAATAAGTAACACCGGAATTTTATATATATATATGTGTGTGTATGTGTGTGTGTGTGTGTGTGTGTGTGTGTGAAAATATATAGAAAATAGGAAAGAACTCGTTAGGTAAATAATCCAAAGTTCCTTAGTATTTTTGTTATTATTTTTTAAAAATAGTGCTCGATACAAAAGTAGAGCATAAATATAATTATTTATTTAAAAATATGATTCCAACTCGCGACATAAGAGGTTTCAAGTTTCAAAACAAGAGCCGAAAACTTCAATATAATTATTTGAATTAATATATATATATATATATATAAATTAATACAAATATAAAGCTTAGCTGCTTGGTATTACCTTCGGCATCCCTCCTCTAGAGTTTCGTAGACGGACTCTCCAGTAAAGACTCCGTCCACTCGTCAGGCGTATCAGAAATAGGGACAGCCTATATCATTAAAGTTTGGATCTTGAAAATGGCTTGATGGATAGGTGAAATTCATGGTAATTTTCTAAGGTTGTAATTAATCCAGCGAGACAAGCTTGCTAACTATGTCGAAGTGAACTCATGATTTCTAAGATGTGTTGGGAACCGAGTGAGGATCGAACTCACTACTCAGTCGTAACTGATCTAGCGAGACAAGCTCGCTAACCATTACACCACGTCGAAGTGCCCAAGTTGAAGTTTATGGAGAGTTATTACATACACAGTTATGACATTACGATCACTCGTAAGGAGGCGAGAATGATGAAGAAAAATCTCGTTGTTTGTGGGCTTTACAAACTCGCATTACGAAAATAATTATTGCTACCTAACATGCACACACTCACACACACACAAATACACGCACACACATACACACACACACATACACACACACACATATATATATATGTATATATATGTATATATATAATTGTGTGCGCGTGTGTGTGTGTGTGTACGTTTGTGTGTGTGTGATGACACTTGTCTGCTAAAGAGTTGAAGCCTGTTGATCACCTATAGGACGTCCTTTGTCCTCGAGGTGAGAGATGTCAATAAATGTCGTCTGTGTGTTTCACCTTCAGGACTCACCTTTATAATAACTCCATCCTTTCAATTTCATGTTGGTCTATTTCCAACTTTTTTTTCTACTCTGAATTCCGGTGTTACTTACTTGTAAATTCTGTCCTTTCCTTTCAAATGACCCGAGATAATTTTTTTTTACGAGCTCAATGTGAAATTAATAGGAAATATTGTCTGTTTTCCTCTTCTTTCTTTTTAAAGTAAGTTATTAAAAGTGTTTGGAATTGCAGCTCGTGATTGTATTGTATCGAAAAGTGAGACTTGTGTAGTATTTTTTTATGCTTGGGTTAAAACTATTCATGAGATGACACAAGTGTGTTTATTAATTTCGAAAATCATAGCGATCGTGAACAGACTATGAACACTGATTTAATAGTACCTTTTTTACCACCTTTGATAAGGATTATTACCAGCTTATATCTAAACGCATTACCTGAACGTTTTTGCATAATATATATATATATATATATATATATATATATATATATATATATATATATATATATATATACACACAGAAAAGAGAGAGAGAAAGAGAGAGAGAGATGAATAAATTCAGAGAATCAGAAAATGAACAGATAGATAGATATGAACAGATTGAGATAGATAGATAGATAGATAGATAGATAGATAGATAGATAGATAGATAGATAGATAGATAGATATGAACAGGCTTAGACATGAACAGACTTAGATACATAGATTGAGACTGACATATTAACAACCTTAAAGATAGATAGATAGATAGATAGATAGATAGATAGATAGATAGATAGATAGATATGAACAACCTTAAATATGAACGTAGATACATTGATATGAACAGGGGACAGACAGAAAATGAACAGATTTAGATAGATAGATAGATAGATAGATAGAGAGAGAGAGAGAGAGAGAGAGAGAGAGATCTCAATAATAACATTTTTGTAAATGCTTATCAATGCATGTCTTGTATCTTTGTATGCAAAGTTTTCATGTTATTCTTTGGCAAAATTATCCAACGTGATAAACAATAGATGCAAAGTTGGTCTAATTTTTAGGAGTTTGAGACAAAAAGATCGGCGTATTGAATTCAAATTCTAACTGAAATAGGTGGCATTCGTTTCACGCTATTGCTCTGGGCAAAGTTATGAATCATACTCTCCTGTTAAGTCAGAGATTAACTCCCTGTTCTAATCCAGTACGTATGTTACTTGCAGAGATCGGCGCCGTGATGTAACTTCTATTGTCCCTAAAAATACCTTGACGATCTCAGCTTTGCACTTCAACTATAAATGATGTATGGGATGATTTGATTTGATTTCAATGCATAAAGTGGTTTCATGTAATAAGATGACGTCATAGTTCAACCCAAGGTCGACAGTGATTCCTGGATGATTGAATGACATAGTGAAAGATAAATAATAAATGCTTAAACTTCATGCGATATTCTTCGACAACATAACCTTAGTATTTTTATGGCGAGAAAGAAAGAAAGAAAGAAGGAAAGAAATAACTGAAGAAAGAAAGAAAGAAAGAAAGAAGGAAAGAAATAACTGAAGAAAGAAAGAAAGAAAGAAGGAAAGAAATAACTGAAGAAAGAAAGAAAGAAAGAAAGAAAGAAGGAAAGAAATAACTGAAGAAAGAAAGAAAGAAAGAAAGAAAGAAGGAAAGAAAGAATGAAAGAAAGAAAGAAAGAAGGAAGGAAAGGAATAACTGAACAAAGAAAGAAAGAAAGAAAGAAAGAAAGAAGGAAAGAAATAACTGAACAAAGAAAGAAAGAAATAACTGAAGAAAGAAAGAAAGAAAGAAAGAAGGAAAGAAATAACTGAAGAAAGAAAGAAAGAAAGAAAGAAGGAAAGAAAGAAAGAAAGAAAGAAGGAAAGAAATAACTGAAGAAAGAAAGAAAGAAAGAAGGAAAGAAATAACTTAAGAAAGAAAGAAAGAAAGAAAGAAAGAAAGAAAGATGATTCGGCTTTTCTTAAACAAATCGAATTGTTAATTTTTGACATTAGAGGTGGAGAGTTAGTTATCGTAATGTCGGCGGACAGATTGGACACACAGATACAGTGTTTATTTGTGGTTTAGAATATCAGCAGCAAATGGTGGCCAAGTCTTCTGTTACTACATTTACGAAGAAAGTAAAAAACAAAAAAAAATAACAAGGAGTTTATTTTACAGATCGAGTAAGCTGGCAAAAAATAAAATTGCAACGCGCTGAATATTTACATCAATTTATTGAAAATTAACCATACGGGTAATATAGATGGATTTTTTAATCATTTCTCACCAAGCAAGGTATTAAAGCCACTATGACGCAAGTGGGTTACTGAGGATGAGAGAAAAAAACACTATTAAGGAGAGGGAACAATAAAAGAACAAGGATTAAGAAGACAGACGATAACGATTGACATTGCATTTAAATTTTTGAAGATCAAAGTTGAGTGGAAATCTAAGAGTCAGAAGAAAGTTCCACAAGCGGGAAGTGCAATGAAGAAAATTTTAGCATAGAACTTACGGTTACATTTAGCCATTTCAACCGGCAATCATGTACTGCGCTAATATTCATAAAGTCTAGGTACCGTAGTGGAAAATTCCTCAGAACAATTACCATAAAAATATTTATAGAAATCGAGCATGGAATATATGTTATGGCGGTTGGAAGTGGTCGAAGCCGATATGCCAGGTCAGGACTAATAACATTGCAGATTCTTCTTTGGATTTTGAATCAAGAATCTCTAAAAATATCGCAGGAGCACCAGACCAGATGTGGTAGCAATATACAAAAAGGATACATGAATGGTAGACTTATAATTATGTAAGGTCGATTCTGGTAAGAAAAATTGTCTCGCACGACACAGTGAACCAACTTTTCTATCAGCAGACATAGCAAGTGATTTAATATAATTCTTTCGCTCTATGTCAACGGAAAAAACGTTAGCCGAAGAAGGCGTCACTCTCATGAAAGTTAGCATCAATCATGCAGAAAAGGGTTTTCTCAAATTATTAATAACCCAATCGAATCACCTAATCGATTCACCCTACTGAATCACTCAATTGAATACCTCAATCGAATCACCCAATCGAATCACCCAATTGAATCACCCAATCGAATCACTCAATTGAATACCTCGATCGAATCACCCAATTGAATCACTCAATCGAATCACCCAATCGAATTACCCGATTGAATCACCCAATCGAATCACCCAATTCAATCACTCAATTGAATCACCCAATCGAATCACCCAACTGAACCACCCAATCGAATCACCCAATTGAATCACTCAATCGAATCACCCAATCGAATCACCCAACTGAATCTCCCAATCGAATCACCCAACTGAATCACCCAATCGAATCACCCAAATGAATCACTCAATCGAAGCCAAATGAAGAAAAAAATGTGGAACATAAATATAAAGGGTGGATTCCATCAGCACCGATTCCGTGCTTTGAACAATCGCGAATAACCTTTTAAAGAACTTGGACGGATCCAAGTAAGAATTGAAACAATTCAGAGGCCATTATTATTATAATCAGTAATAATGCCAAAGAGAGTATTTTAGTATTTAAGAAAATTGCTCTACAATGAAAGCTTCCAATTACTAATGCTGTGAAAACTCAAAAGACATATATTAATTATAGAACAAATGCGTGGGAACCAAAACAAGAATAGATAAAATACAGTATGGGAGTAAATGTCGCCTTTTGTGAAGAAAGAGACGTAACTGTAAACCAGACGTAGTTACTTACAAAGCGTACTTGAATCACCAAAGTTAAGCAACGTCGAGCCTGTCAGAACCTAGATGGGTAACTGCTTGGGAATATCAGGTGCTGTAATCTTGGATGTGCGGGGGGGGGTTGGATAACGTCTCGGAATTGGAAATCAGAAAGTCGAGTTCCAATTCCAGTCGGGTTCGTTACATTCACTTACACAAAAATCCCCCTGCGAAAGGTATGACTCAACCTCTTCTCCTTCTCCCTAGCTATGGGTTAATTAATAGGACTTGTGTCAGAAAAAAACATTACCATATCAAAAAGAAATCTTACAATATAAAAATGTTTTCTGGCTTTAAATAACCTGTAATGGGTTGATGAGCCGTAAAAAAACAAATCAATCAAAGCGCAGCTTAGTTTGGCACAAAAAATAGAAATACTGAGCGCTTAGTGAAGATGGAACTCATTAGTAATTATGGTTGGATTAAAATTAACCCTAATAAAAATTTTACAAGGCTTTTCTAGTCAAGTGACTCATTTAGTTCATCAGAAGATTCTAGCTAACAACGAGAAGCGGAGTTTTGTCCGAGAAAACCAGAGAGAAGGAAGTTGTCAGCAGTTTGATGAGATTGAAATACAAAGGAAACGTTCCCCAGAATCTCACATTGTGATAATTAAACAACATTTTTTTTATTTTTATACATTAACATGCATTCGGACATTAATCTGGAAGCGGTATTGTCTTTTCTTTTTTGTGTATAACATTTCCGTTAATGTAATAAATTCGTATTATTCCAGGTTTACCTGTCAATGCTTCTTCCCATCATGTTATTGTTTTAATAGGCGAAATCCACGAGGTCAACGACTCCATTATTATCAACGAGATAAGCTTGCTAATTATTAGGCCACGAAGAGGCTCTCCTGTAAATCACACTTTTAATGAATACAGCAAGCCGGTCGAATTGGAACACACGGAAGAAGAACAAGGATTGTAAGTATACAAGTGTCTTGGTTTCGATCATGTAGGTCAGGCCTGCACAATTAAAAAATGTGAAGGACCTTATTGTTCGTAGAAAATTAGACACGACCTATAAGAAAAATTTCTTCTTCTTCTTCTTGCAATATCCTTTCAGGACGTACGTGATCATGGCTTTCCCTCTCCTTTGTAACTCTTAATAAATTTTGTCTTTTCGTTATCTCTCCTAAACATTATTCTGCTATCCATTTACTCAAACTCTCCAGCTAGGTTATGTGCTGTTTTTCCTCCGTCCATCTTGCCCTCAATTTGTCTTGTGAGTATCAAATTTTCTGAGCCCTCATTTTCTCAGCATATTTTTAACTAGAGTGAATTGCTTCTACCGGTAGACATATTTTACACTGTTTAAAACAAAACAAAACAAAAAAGACAAAAAAATAACATGACGTCTACTCAAAAATGGGTATCCACTAAAATAACGTTTGGAGTAATAAGAAATAGAGTCGGGTTCGAATTACAAGTTAAAACACACACACACGCACGCACGCACGCACACAGTTATATATATATATATATATATATATATATATATATATATATATATATATATATATATATATATATAAGCGCATAGTGAGTACTGGTGGTAATAAAACAGTGCTCGATGTATATTAACAGAATTAAAATTTATATTAAAATAAATATACATTTTGTTCCTTGTCGTTTAGCTCAACACTCAGTCGTTGACCACAGATTGAAAACTGACCAGTTTGTAATCCGTGCCACACGAGTGCCTTGTTCCTGAAAAAGACGGAGTTGTGAGGATAAAAATGCAAATTTATATATATATATATATATATATATATATATATATATATATATATATATATATATATATATATATGAAGAAAAATATATACGGAAAAAACAAACAAAAATCCTTATATACAATTATGCTGTTTTAATGTTAATATGTCAACGTCGGACGTTTTCGGTCTAATAAACCATCTTCAGGACATATTCATAAATTATAACATTATCAATACAACATGACAAAGACGATGTACATAAGAACAAGACTTATCCAAACAAATTACTGAAAGTTTTATAAGATCAGCGCTCCGTTTAAAACATGGTCACGTAGCGCTGATCTTATAAAACTTTCAGTTATTTTTTGGGATAAGTATTGTTCTTATGTACAAAGAAACGTTAGATCTGGCGTGATCCTGATAGACAACAACACCTTTTCTGTTTCTTGAATAGCTGTCTTTAATTCGATCAGTTGCGAGCAGTACTTTTCAGAATAAATTGGCTGGTTATTTGGCAGAAGCTCATCGTACAGTATTCCTTTCTAATCGAACTAGATGCACAGCATAACTTTCTTAGAATGAAGACCCGCTTTTGAGATGGTTAAAGTTGGCTCATATCGCTAACCCCAGGACCCTTTTCGCTGAACCTTGTTGTAAACGATCCATTTCTCATCACCCGTCACAATTTGCTTTAAAAAGTGCATTTTCATTGCGTTGAAGCAGCAAATCACAAATAAAATGCGATCCAAAAGTTCTTTTCACTCAGACCATGTGGTACCGAAGCATCTTATCGATTTGAGGACCCAAGCCTCACTAAGTGCCCATGGATGGTGAATTTTGATAAATTTAGTGTTTTTTGCCAATTCCCACGTTCTGTAATGCGGGTTATTCTCATTCAATGTCTTCATTTGGTCGCCATCTGTAGGGGGAGGGGTCTGCCTGAGCGTTCTTCATTGTTAAGGCTACAATGACAAACTCTAAACGTAGCAAACCACTTCCGTACAGTTCTGTCAGCTACAACATCTTCACCATACACAGCACATATCTTTTTTTGTTGTTTTTGAAGAAGTTTTACATTTACGGTAATAAAACAAGAAATCAAGTGTCTAAAATACATCTTTTAATTTTTCATTTTTATAGGGATGCAAAATTGACACGAATTAAGTAATTTTAAACTTTCTTTCTCAAGAGATAGTTTGAAGTGTGCTCTAATTGTAAATGTATGCAAATTATATCTGTTGATAAATTTTGACATATTCTAACGTGTTGGAACATGAACGATTAAAATTGGCATGGATTTTCCGGACAGCCAAATACATACCGATTGCGATGGATAAATTGTCGTCTAAAAATGAAAATAACACTGACATCGCATTTTAACAGATATATTTACTAAAATTACACAAAAATAGAGTATATTTAATCAATAAAATCGCTATTGGCTTCAACCACGACCTCCAGACAACTTTGAAATCTCTTGCAACTCTTCTTGTTTGTAGTTTAATAT